TTTTCTCGAAGTGACACCCCACCCGAATTATGCTCGTTTTTTTGGCAAGTATTGACACACCAAGCTCAAAAGATTGCCCATCATTGCCTTAGCCTATGAGAAGGCCAAGCCAAAGAAGCCCCAGGTTGAAGGCCTCATGTGTAAAGCTATGTTTAAAGCTACTATGTGAAGCTGCTGTGTAATTTCGGTGTGAGAGGAGGCTCTGTGAGAGCAAAGTTGTTTAACTGCATGAGAAAGAAGCCCAGTGTGGAAGCAAAGAAGGAAGTGTAAAGAACTTTATCTGTGTTATGGAAACATTGCTATTGTAAATAGTGCAACCATATTATTTTGTTATAAAGAAAAGCCTCTATGGAAGAGATAAACATTCACACCTAGCTCCAGCAGACAAGAGTCCTTTGTCTCACTCTGGTCATTCCACAGATATATAAACCCTTTTTCCTAGTTCCAACAGACCTCACTAACTCTGAGGATGCTTGCCATAGATGTAGGCGAAACGTCGGGAGATAATGCCTCTAGATCATGGCCATATAGCCCAAAAAAACCTACAACAACCCAGTGATTCCGGTCATGAAAGCCTTTGACATTACAGATAACATTGGTCTCTGTGTTTTTGTTCTTTTTATCTCTTTTGGCTACTGGTGCTGGGTCACGTTGCTACTGATAAGTTACTCTGCTTACATTTATGAGGAGGATCTTGTGTTAATAAGCCCACTTGCCCAACAATAATGTTCCATAAAAACATTTCCTCTTGATATTGTCGAAGGCTTTCATGGCTGGAATCACTAAGTTCTTGTGGGTTTTTTCGGGCTATATGGCCATGTTCTAGAGGCATTTTGGAGGCATTTTGGGCCATATAGCCCAAAAAAACTCACAAGAACTTAGTATTTCCTCTTGATGTTTCTTCATGTCAGTGAGTCTTTCTCTAGCAAAGTAGATTAATACATACATCTCATTACATGCATTACATGGGGCTTGGCCCCATCTAAGCCGCTCCGAGTCCCCATCGGGGAGATGGTGGCGGGGTATAAATAAAGATGATGATGATGATGATGATGATGATTATCTCATGCTCCCATAAACTAAAGAAAACCACATTTCCTCTCTTTTACCACACACAGTCAAGGAAAAGATGTTCCACCCACCTCAAAGACAGTCTTCGCAGCGTAGCCTTGGACATCATCCCGGTTTATGACAATCTGGATGACACGATACCACACCTCCTCGCTCACATAGTCGCCAGCAATACGGATCAGATTGAGGATGGTGTCCACGTACCAGCTGTAATCCACTGCATATTTCTCAGCCAGGATAGCCACCTTCAGTACCTGAGAAGCAGAAAACGAAATATTTTCTGCCAATCTCTGGCTTTCTTTGTTCCAGATCCACTTTGCTAGGAAAATGTGGAAACCCTGGAATTTGCCAACTCTTAGCGTCTCAGAAATACACTGAGACAAAGAAACAGGGTTCGAAAGTGTGTCATAATGAGAAAAGAGCAATGTTGTTTTTTGCTGCTCCAAAGTCCAAGACAGGGAGCAACTGATTCTTCTTCTTTAGCGGTTTTTAAACTGAGTTTGAATGGCCATATGTCAGGAGTGTTTTGTCATTCATGGTAGGGGTTTGGACATGGCCCCTGTGGTCTTTTCCAACTCTATGTTTCAGAGCTTTGTTTTTGAGACCCTCTTCCCCACTCCCTCCCCCTGTGTTCTGAGTCTCTACTCACAATCTCCTCACGGATAGAATAATCGGCTGTCTCTAGGTAGCTAAGCATCTCTGAGACAATCTGTTTGGCATTTGTTCGATCACACATGGCGTAGAGGAGGTCAGCAGCCCGCTGTCGCACGCTTACATCCCGTTCCGTCTGAGAAAGAGCAGGAAGAATGCAGTGTGAGCTCAGGTCAACCAACCTGGTTCATAAAGAGAGGTAAAGAGCAACTGACTGGCCAGTTAATTGCATGACATGGTGAGTGTCACCTGGTTAGTTTCCTGAGCCTGAACTTCAGCTATGTTCTTTCTCAGCCATATTATTTTGATGTTGTTTACAATTGTGATTGTTTTTATATTTTATCTGATGTTTTTAATTAATTGTGTTCTATTTGTAATTTTTCATTGTTTTTAATTCATTGTGTTCTATTTGTAATTTTTGGGCTTGTCCCTTGCAAGCCGCCCTGAGTCCCTGAGATAAAATTGTTGTTGTTGTTGTTATTATTATTAATAATGACATAATGAGGATTATTTTGAGGGTCTCTCATATTCCATCCTAAAACATTAATTAATCACTATACCACAGTGTTTTTTTCTTGGACTGCTCTTTGTGACTTCTGACCTTGAGGGCATTGATGACTGTTTCAATGTGGGTCTTGACAGCCTCGTGAGAAAACTCTGAGCTGGCCAGGGTGCACATGCTCTCCAGGGCCAGGTATCGCAGGTTGGTCTCCCGATGCTGTAGGAACTGGCCAAGTTGATTGCATGCCCGCACCAACAGGTTGGGTTCGCTGTGGGTTGAGAAAACAGGTTTAAGTCCAGAATGAACCACTGTAGGTCAGGGCTCTAGGCCAAGCCAATCAAGTCTCCAATTGCCAGCAGTGTACAAAACCACAACAAATGTCTTTAAAAATCAAAATGTTATCTTATCTACCATCTCAGTTTCCATGGCTTTTTCCTCTAATATTTTCATGTGCCTAAATGGCTGACTATTAAAATGCTCACTCCAGACAAATATATATATATAAAAGTTTTTTATTGTTTACCCTACTCCCACCCTCCACCCCGGACAAACAATTTATACAAATCACCTCACTACCTCAGAGGATGCTTGCCATAGATGCAGGCGAAACGTCAGGAGAGAATGCTTCTAGAACATGGCCATATAGCCCCAAAAAACCTACAACAACCCACTATACAAATTACATTTGAAATATCAGTCTTAGTTTCAGTTTTTCCACTCCACATCTTGTAAACAAAGAGGTGTGTTTAATCACATGATATGGGAATGTAACAAAGGAGAAATTAATAGAATGTTACATCTTCAAATCATAATAGCCAGTGGAAATGTATTACATGCCAGGATACCAGGAGTGTGTAATGTGCAAAAGGGAAAAATGGGTGACAAACGAACAGTGTGTGCTCAAATTGTTTTAGTGAGAGGTTGGAAAGATAAAACAAAGTGGACTCTGACAAATGTGTATAACTATATAGTAAAAATGTTGAATGTGGAACTAACAAATTGTAAATTGAACAATATAGACAAAATTGAAAATGTTATACTAATTAAGAACATGTGGGATCCAGTTAAGAATTATTCAAAAAACACCAGTCATGCTTTCTCAGTGTTTTGCCTCATCTGAAGAAGGGCACTTCCCCCTTCTTAACCTGTCTATCCTGTAAGATCATCATGACACATTTTATGAGCCCTTTGTAAATTACATAGCTAGAAGGTCAAAGCTGCAATTAAAGGTCTGAGTTGAATATTATCTTCTTTTCTAAGCCATCATATTGATGTCATTGCCACCTTTCAACATTATATTCTGAAACATCTTAGGATTGTTTTCTTTTGCTACAGTTTGTCAGCAGCTTCTGTGTGATAATGTGAACTACAGCAGGACCTTGCTATCTGCCGGAGTTTGGTCACAGAAACCCCCTGTGGATACCAAGATCCACGTATGCTTGGGTCCTATTATACACAATGGCATAGTAAAATAACATCCCTTATAAAAATTGGCAGCCTGTAGATCTGTGAAATGGCAGGACGACACAACGGTGACTGCCTACATATTAGTATAGTACTCAGCATGGGCAAAATCAAAATTTGCTTTTGGAATTTTTTCTGGAGTATTTTCAATTGTAATTGGTTGAATTTGAGGATTCAGAACCCAAGGATATGGAGAACAGTCCATATAAGTATTTATATTTTAAGAATTATTTATTTATTTATTTATTCAACAAATAAATACAACTTAAAGGTAAAGGTTTCCCCTTGACATTAAGTCTAGTTGTGTCCAACTTTGGGGAGTGATGCTCATCTCAATTTCTAAGCCAAAGAGCAAGCGTTGTCCGTAGACACCTCCAAGGTCATGTGGCCTGCGTAACTGCATGAATTGCAGTTATTTTTCTGCTGGAGTGGTACCTATTGATCTAGTCACATTTGCATGTTTTCAAACAGCTAGATTGGCAGAAGCTGGGGCTAACAGCGGGAGCTCACCCTGCTTCCCGAATTCAAACCACCAACCTTTTGGTCAGCAAATTCAGCAGCTCAGTGGTTTAACCCGCTGCGCCAGGGGTGTGGGGGGCTCCTAAATACAGCTTAGGAGGGTCTATATATCTGAGAATGAATAAGCCAGGCTGTGTGCTCACCTGTCATAGTGGATGATAAGACTGATGGCTTCAAAAAGAATTGCATTCTTGGCATTGGAGTGCTGGACTTTCTTGGACTTGGGCGGCTCCTGGGCCTTGTTGAGGATAGTCTCTAAGCACTCGACCAGACGTCCTTTGACTGCTGCATCTTCTGTGGGGAAAGCAGAGGGTAAGAGAGACATATAGCAACACATTTAAAAAGACACAGGTTCTCAGTACTTGGTGCTTGGCTATGAAAACCCATTGGGTTACTTTGGGCAATTTGCATGCATTCAGAGGAAGGCAATAGCAATATCCCTTACACAATAAATTATGCCAAGAAAATAATTTCAGTGTCCAAATTGCTCAAAGCTGATAACACAATTATTGGGTCTAGTTTTGCTCACAATCCATTGTTTGTATAAGATTTGTTCCACCTTGTCTCCTGTGCTATTCTAATAATATAATATAATATAATATAATATAATATAATATAATATAATATAATGCATTATATATACATATAATATTTATAATATTATAATGTAATACAATATATTACTATTAATAATAATAATATGATATTATAATTATATTTTATATTACTTGTAATATTACTATGCTAATAATTTAATATATTGTATGTATATTTATCTTGTAAGCCGCTCTGAGTCCCCTTCGGGGTGAGAAGGATGGCATATAAATGTTGTAAATAAATAAATAAATTTGTGGTATGAGGGTCACCCCAATATATGCACAGAGAAGACACATGATAACTACTCATTGGTTGCACCCTTTCCTGAATTTCTCTCCCCTTCCCACCTTACACCTAGGCATCTTCCTACCTGGAGGAGGATAACATTGCAGCAGTCGCAGGAGCTTGACAGAAAGCCAGGGAGCTGGCACGAAGTAATAGGTGTAATCCTGTAGGTCTGTGGAGGCTGAAGATACAATCTATAGGGGAAAAATATATGTGTTGTAGCCAAAAGTGCAAGTGGGAGTACTCTCAATGAGTTATAGTAAAGCACCCTTCTCTTCCCTGTTAGCATCTATTTAACCATCATAGAAGTCTGTAAATCTAGCCTCGCAGGTCAACTCAGATGTGCTAACAAGAAGTCAAGCAGGAAGGTGGTTTAGATCAGAGCTACCCAGCAGGAGATATTAAATTCCCACCACGCCATTTCCCCCAAGTCTTCCACTTCCTCTCACAGCTTTTACTGCCTTCAAAGCAGTAAAAGCTGCTTTTACACAGCAAAGCAACAATGAATCTTATTGTGATTGTTTCATCTAGAGAAGTCTGTGGACAGGACCTAAAGAAGTGTTGGGTTGCTGTGAGTTTTCTGGGCTGTATGGCCATGTTCCAGAAACATTCTCTCCTGACATTTCACCCACATCTATGGCATACATCCTCAGAGGCTGTGAGGTATATTGGAAACTAGACAAGAGAGGTTTATATATCTGTTGAAGGTCCAAGGTGGGAGAAAGAACTTGTGTCTATTGAAAGCAGGTGTGAATGTTGCAATTAATCACCTTGATTAGTATTGCAAAGCCTTGCAGCTTCAAGGTCTGGTGGATTCCTGCCTGGGGGAATCCTTTATTGGAAGGTGTTAGCTGGCCCTAATTATTTCATGTCTAGAATTCCCCTGTTGTTCTAAATGCTGAATGAAGCATGCCCAGGCTCAGGAAAAGGGATCATTTACTTCAGACAGTACTGCATTTGCTGGACAAGGTTAAATATTCTGTTCTCCTATTGCTTCCTGCTAGAAATCACTGCCCAGCATCTGTTCTTCACCTCAGGAGAAAAGCTCTACTTGGCACCAGTGGGAGTGTAGCTTTCGGGAGAGCTGGCATGTTTGGGTGGGAAGTTCCAGAAGCAGCTTAAGAGAATCTTTCCTGGTCTCATAAAGCATCCTTCAAGATTTCTCCATTTTTGCTGTTTCACTCCCGGATTTTTCTCTCTCTGAATATATGTTTGTATTCCAAAACAGACTATGGTGATTGCTTCTGCTGGGGGAGCTATTTAGGTTGCAGTATCCATAGATTCAAGCCACTTTGCACTAGACAGCAGAAAAACAAAGCTATTCAGCATCTCCTTAGCTGGACTACTGATATATTACCTCAGTCAGCTCCTCCTTCCTTTGCCTCACTGCGTATCCTCTATCTCAACAGGTTCCTATATCTCATGCTATGAATGTAGTGAGAATTACCACAACCCATTCATGGCAAATATTATGATACAAACTGGGGAAATAAATGTATTATGCTTGCTGAATTAGTATGACTGCCATGTTTTGTTGAGGAAAGCAACCTTCTCAAGCCTCCTCTATATGATGTTTGTCTGCTTTATAATGTGCTGTTTAATAGCCTGAAGTATATGTCTTATCTGATTTGCAGTTTCCTTATTTCTATATACCTAAAGCAGTGGGAGGGGCTGCTGGTCATGTGACTGACTCAATGACAGCTTAGAATGTTCAGGTTTAAACAGGATGACAGTTAGGGAATTTCAGTTGAGGAATGACTGCTAGAGAAGTATGTTGGTTTTTGAATGAGCTTAAGTATAGAAGTCTGTCAGAGTGCAGAAGCTCATGTTATAATATCTATCTATCTATCTATCTATCTATCTATCTATCTATCTATCTATCTAAATGCTCTGTGCATAATGAGTACCTTAAAAACAGAAGAACCAATGAACGAAATCACACCAAATTTGGCAACAAAATGTCTCACAACACAAGGAGTGACCATCACTCAAAAAATTTTGAACTCCATCAACGATGGAATTGAACCAAACTTGGCACACAGAACTCCCATGACCAACAGAAAATACTGGAAGGGTTTGGTGGCCATTGACCTTGAGTTTGGGAGTTGTAGTTCATCTACGTCCAGAGAGCACGGTGGACTCAAACAATGAAGGATCTGGACCAAACTTGGCACAAGCACTCAATACGCCCAAATATGAACACAGATGGAGTTTGGGGGAAATAGACCTTGACATTTGGGAGTTTTGTCACTGGGATTCACAGTTCACCTACAATCAAAGAGCACACAAAAGAATTGGGCTAAACTTCCCACACTGAACCCCCATGACCAACAGAAAATACTTAAGGCCATCCAATCCAACTCCCTTCATCAGGGCAAAAAAACGTAATCAAAGTCCTCCTGACAAAGAGCCATCCAGCCATAGATATAGATAGATATGATTCACACACAGAGAGATATAGTATCATAGATTTGAAAGGGCGCTTAAAGAAGGACAATGGTATGTTGCATATTCCAGGGTGGGCAAATGAGACACTCTCCACATCAACACTGACAAAGAAACAACAAGAAATGCTGTTTACCCACAAGCATAAAGAAATTACATATATTAGAAACCAACACTTTTTCATTACTTTATTTTCCAGATCAACAGACTGGGCCACAGCAACGCGTGGCAGGGGACAGCTAGTAAATAATAAAATAATAATAATAAAACTATTTATATACTGCTCTATCTCTCCGGGGGGACTCAGGGCAGTTTCCAAGCAACAACAGCAAAACATAGAGTCACAACATGAACAAAAAATAACAATAACAATGTTAAGAAGTTAGAAACTGTTGAGGCTTGTGTACACTCTTATTAAAGAGCTGTATAAAGCAAAATAGTTCATGAAGAAACTATTAAAAGATTATAAGTTCAAGATGCAAACTCTCTGAAACATTACTGAAGTTTTTAACCTTTGGCAAGAAATGTGCCTGTATCTTTAAATACATGACGTTATCAATAAACAAAACTTGTTATCTTTAAAAGAAGTCTAGTTGCATCATTATCTGCTGAAAGCATCAAACAGAAACTAAATATCTACATGCCCAGCGATCATTCATTACCAAATAAACTCTGCTACTCCGATTAGATTGTGATCCTAACAGTTCATGATCTATACCCTGATGGTCAGTGATTCTAACATGATCTATTATCCCCAATATGTTTGCAGTACCACCATCCACAATTTTATATGCAGAATTCTTGGTTCCCATATATATAGCCTCTATGAGTTTCAAACAGTCCAAAGACTCCCACAGAAGTAAAGTAAATAACATGGAAACTTAAGGCAGACGAAATAAGCTGTTCCTCAAAATTCTGGACTCACCCTGCTAAGCCTGGAGACAGCCAAGGATACACAGGTCTTAAAATCATCAGGATTCTTCTTGCAGAGGCAGGCGATGAGACTGACAGCAGCAGTGACGACACCCTGCATTGTAAAGAAGAAATAGGAGAGATGACACCATTATTTCAGTAGAGAGGCTGTAAAAAGGACAAGATGTACCACTGTTTGACCCCACATTATGTACACACTACTGGGTACATAATGTAAGACAGTAGCTTTCAACCTTTTCTTCATCATGGACTCCCTTTTAATTACTTTTGTGGTTGCAAACCCCCAAGGTTAAACTCAAGATTTAAGGCACTAGGCTTCATCAAATATTTATTCCAATTTTCTCATGAAGATCCAAATTTAGAGAGAAGGTGATGTAAGTTAATCTGTTAATGCACACATTCCTATTATGATATTTGATATTTTAGGTTTTATGTTTATGCCTGATATAATAGGTTGTTTAAATTTTATTCTAATTTGTTTTTATAGGCTGTGGAGTTTAATTTTTGTTATTATATGGCTATTAGTTGTTATGTTCAGGCATTGAATGTTTGCCTTTTTTTGTGATTGGAATCCATCTGAGTCCTTTCAGGGAGATAGGGCGGATTATTATTATTATTATTATTATTATTATTATTATTATTATTAATCGTATAAGAAGCGAACCAAGGGTACAGTTGTCATGTATATTAAAAATGCAAAGTTTAAAAACTTGGCATTATATTAAATGTCCTTTGACCAGTAGCTGGCCACTTGGAGTGCCTCTAGTGTTGCTATAATGAGGACCTCCATTGTGCATGTGGCAGGGCTCAGGCTGCATTGTAATAGATGGTCTGTGGTTTGTGCTTCTCCACACTTGCATGTCATAGATTCCACTTTGTGGCCCCCAAAGTCGTTGCCCAGGGGGACATGAGAGAAGCCTTCCCGCAGGACAGCAACACATCCAGGCGTCCCCTGAGCAAAGCCTTTGTAGACGGCTGATTCTCTCACACCAGAAGCAACCAAAATTATTATTATTATTCCACATTAATTTAAAATAATAGTATCAACACTAACAACAGTTGATAATTTAATAATGTAATCCATCGTGGACCCCCATGACAACATTGTGAAAACCACTGGTGTAATTTATTTATCACACTTGTAGCCCACCTTTCTCAACTCTGAAGGGTACTCAGAGCAGCCTTTCAAAGGCAACAATTGAATGACACACACACACACACACACACACACACACACACACACACATATACATATCAATAAACAAATGCATTAAAATCCAGAACAATTAAAAAATCAAACATTAAAACATCAATTAAAATCACACAATCCAAATCATACTCCAGGGCCGATCCAAGTCATCATTATGCTATTTTGTGATCTCTTATTACACTGCTCCAATTTACTATCCAAAAGCTTGGTCCCAAAGCCATGTTTTTAGTTTTTTTCCTGAAGGTCAGGAGGAAGGGGGGCGATCTAATTTCACTACGGAGGGAGTTCCACAGATGAGGGGCCACCACTGAGAAGGGCCTGTCTCGCATCCCCACCAGTTGCGCTTGCAAGAGGGGTGGGACCAAGAGCAGGGCCTCCCCCAATTATATTAGCTTCCAAGCTGTCAGCTATCATTATGACAAGGTAGGGAACGCAAAGAGTTCAATGTGTAGTATTACAAAGAAGCATTTGGGAAAAAATTGGGTCTCTGGATATTTTGGAACACCACCACTCCACATCTTTTATCATTAGCCATTGGATTTGGAGCTGATCAGGCTCATAGGTCAAAACTTTTATACGACTGTAATGGCTGTGGTGGCGCAACAGATTAAATTGAACTTGCTGATTGGAAGGTTGGCGGTTGGAATCTGTGGGATGGGATGAGCTCCTGCTGTTAGTTCCAGTTCCTGCCAACCTAGCAGTTTGAAAACATGCAAATGTGAGTAGCTCAATAAGTACCACCTTGGCAGGAAAGTAAACGGCACTCAATGCAGTCAGGCCAGCCACATGACCTAGGAAATGTCCATGGAAAACGCTGGCTCTTTGGCTTAGAAATGGAGATGAGCACCACCACCCAGAGTCGGACTCGACTAGACTTAATGTCAGGGGAAACCTTTACCTTTACCTGTATATTTATGTTTCATTGTTTCGAGGCACTGAATGTTTGCCTTGTGTCTGTATATGCTGGAATCTGCCCTGAGTCCCTCCGGGGAGATAGGGCAGAATACAAATAAAGCATTGTTGTTGTTGTTGTTGTTGTTGTTGTTGTTGTTACTCAACTCCAGATTTAAGCATGCGCAAAATGCTTTAATCACCATAAAGAGATCAACAGCAATATGTTCTCCTCTCAGTAGATAATTGTAGCTTATTCTTATTTTGAATAAACAGCAAACTATATACAAGAGGGTTGAAAAGTCCTGAATGTTCCTTATCATATGAAAGGGAACAATAGTTGAATGGGATGTATCTTAAGCAAGTTATTCCAGGGATGTAGAAGATTTCATGGACTGGCTATTTGGAAGGAGGGGGCGGGACACTGAGAAAAGATGTACCATATGCTGATCGTTCAGAAGGTGCACCACACGTGACGTCCACTCTCCCATGGGCACCAGGTCGGGTGAGGTCTTGTACAAACGCAGAAGGCAGAGGGCAGCACTCTGTTTTACACTATCCATGGTGTCTCTGAAATAGAATAATGGATAAATGGGCAAGTCAGACAAATGGATTCTATAATGGGGGACTACAGCTCAGAAAGCAGAACACTGTGTCCAGGTTGGTTATAAAGAATGCATACATCTCTTGCATCATCTTCAATGGCTAGCGGTCTGTCTTGGAACACAATTCAAAGTGCTAGTTTACGATCTTTAAAGCATGTCATGGCTTGAGTCCAGATGATTTGAGAGACAGCATCAATGTGAGCCTGCCTGACTTTTAAGATCTTTCGTGGCAGGCTTTCTCTCTGTCCCACCATTACAGGAATGTTTGGTGGCTGTTTTCTTGTTGGCTTCTCTGAAGTGTTGAAATTCTCTCCAACTGGAGGTCTGGCTAGGCTCCTATATGCTTTGGGTTACTGTGAGTTTTCAGGGCTGTATGGCTATGTTCCAGAAGCATTCTCTCCTGACGATTCGCCCACATCTATAGCAGGCATCCTCAGAGGTTGAAAGGTTTGTTGGAAACAAGGCAAGTGGGGTTTATATATTTGTGGAATGTCCAGGGTGGGAGAAAGAACTCTTGTCTGTTTGAGGCAAGTGTGGATGCTGCAAATTGAACACCTTGATTAGCATGAAAAGCCTTGCAGCTTCAAGGCTTGGCTGCTTCCTGCCTGAGAGAATCCTTTGTTGGGAGGTGTAACTGGCCCTGATTGTTTCTTGTCTGGAATCTACCTGTTTTTGAGTGTTGTACTTTCTTTAATGTTATGATTTTAGAGTTTTTTTAATACTGGTAGTCAGATTTTGTTCATTTTCATGTTTTGTCCTTTCTATTCAAATTATCCATATGCTTGTGGATTTCAATGGCTACTCTGCGTAGTCTGACATGGTAGTTGTTAGAATGGTTCAGCATTTCCCTGTTCTCAAATAATATGCTGTGTTCAGGTTCGTTCATCAAGTGCTCTGCTATGGCTGACTTCTCTCAACAAAGTATTTCCCCAGGCAGGAAGCAGACAAGCTTTGGAGCTGCAAGGTCATTCAATGCTAATCAAGGTGATCAATTTCAGCATTCACACTTGCCTCAAACAGACAAGAGTTCTTTCTTCCACCTTGGACATTCCACAGATATATAAACCCCACTTGCCTAGTTTCCAACAAACCTCACAACCTCTGACGATGCCTGTCATAGATGGGTGAAACGCCAGGAGAGAATGCTTCTGGAACATGGCCATACAGCTCGGAAAAGTCACAGCAACCCAGTGATTCCAGTCATGAAACACTTCTATATGCTTTATTTTCACTGACAGGAAAATGCCTTTTACTTAGGCAAGACTTCAACTTTTGACTTACTCTTTTAATGCATTCCTTATCATCGATGTAAAGACCACTTAAGAGATAAAGAATTTACTCCATATTTGGCAGCTTGCTCTGTTCCTGTACTCTTGTAAAAACACAAGCACTTTTCCCAACTGAGCCGGCTTACCCAGCCACCAGGATGCGGGGGATCTCAGAGGCAAAGGCCTCAGCCATCTCGCGGCTGCCCACGTTGGCGATGCAGTGCAGGGCCAGGCACATAAAAGTGGGGTTGCGGCTCGCCAAGTCATTCTTGATGGCATTGTTGATGAGACGGATTAGCTCGCTGTTAGAGTTCACCAGCACTGAAATGAATAAGTAGCCCTGGGACAGGAGATGAGAAGAAAGAGGCAGACAGGTCTTGTGTGAGGGACAAGAACCTTCACATTGATTCATGTGCACTGTTCTGGTTACTTATCAAAAGCTTAGTCCCAAAGCCACGTATTAAGTTTTTTTCCTGAAGATCAGGAGAGAAGGGGCTGATCTAATATCGTTGGGAAGGGAGTTCCATAGACAAGGGGTCACCACTGAGAAGGCCCTGTCTCTCGTCCCCGCCAGTTGTGCCTGCGAAAGAGGTGGGACTGAGAGCAGGCCTCCCTGGATGATCTTAACCTCCTAAATAGTTCATAGAGGGAGATACGTTCAGACAGGTAAGCTGGGCCAGAACCGTTTGGGGCTTTATAGGCTAAAGTCAGCATTTTGAATTGTGCTTGGTAGCAGACTGGCAGCTAGTGGAGCTAGCGTAACAATGGGGTTGTGTGCTCCCTGTACCCCACTCCGGTGAGCAATCTGGCTGCCTTTATTTTGCCTCACTCTCTGCTTTATAGACTCTGCAGTAGTAGCTATTCTGGCATATTTCTTTGGGTGAAAATAGTCAAGCTATTTCCAGCCAAAGTACCAGAGACTGAATTGTAAAGTGCATTGGGTCAGTGTTTATGCGGTTGTCAGAAAGTGGAGGTCCTGCATTATTAAACAGGAAGAAAATTTCCCATACCCTCATGGACACAAGTTATTCAAAATACAAGGAGAGCTGTGGAATACGAAGGCTTGAGTTCAAGCATCCATCGAAGTCTAGTTCAAAAACAACAACTGATGGATGGTAAAGTTGCTCCTGGAGGACACCAATTCAGACTGCAGTGTATTAAGGGCAGTAGCATGGCTGAATGTATGAGGCATTTTTGGTAATAAATAAATGCATAGATACAGTCTTCCAAGATCTCACAAGGGCACAGTATGCCAAACAGAAAACTAGAGATCAGAGGAAAAAATATACCTCAGCATTCTCACAGATCTGATTTATTATCATTATGGATTTTTCTCCCAAGCAAAACGATCTAAGGACATAATTTCTCCATAGTCCAAGATTTGTTTCACTACTCAATTTATTATTTGAAAAAGGCTTAGATTATGGGAAGCTTGCTGAGTGTCTTGGGAAAATTTCTCTCTATTTCCTCGCCCATGAATTAACTAAGAAGGAAACATGAAGTCATCTCATGGAGATTATGCAGAGCTGCTCAGGCAAGACTCCTGCCCTACATGTTTTACTGCCATGTAGGTTTCCAGAAACTCCTATGTTTAGCTTTGCCACTTTTAATCTCATCTGAAGTTGTTTTAGTAGCAGCTTTAGCAGGCGTAAGGTACATGGGGTCCCCTAGAAATTGTTCCTCACTATGAATCTCACCAGGTATCATAATAACTGAGATTGAGCAAGGTATGAGTCGAATGCCATCTGGACAGCCACATGTACCCCAGCGATCAGAGAAGAAATGTAAGAAATCAATTGGCTTGATGATGTCTACTACTACAATTTGTTATACTGTAAATATAATCTGATTTGCCTGGTTTAAATTTTGTTATAATTTATTTGAGAGCCATTGTGGCATATAGTGTTGGACTAGAATGTGAGGCTTACATCTGTGACTCCCATTGGAACACATTTTGTTATCTGTGTGTGCGTGACATGGGACTGTGGTGGGTAACTGTTGGAGACTAGGAGAGCATATTAGTTTCCCAGAGGACTTTGGGGGGCTGTAACCCCACAGCATCCAACACCCTGTAGGAGCTCTGTGGGCCAATTCTGCCATCCTTCTAGACCTCTCTTGACCATTTTAGCCTCAGAAGAGGCCAGTTTTCAAAACAGGAAGTAACCGGGATCACATCTGGTTTACCTCTTTTTTAAATAAAACTCCTCCCCTGGGCTTAAAATAGCCCTTGGAGGTCTCAAAATATGGCAAAACACAGCCTCTAGAACAGTGGTTTTCAACCTGTGGGTTCCTAGGTGTTTTGGCCTACAACTCCCAGAAATCCCAGACAGTTTTACCAGCTGTTAGGATTTCTGAGAGTTGAAGGCCAAAACATCTGTGGACCTACAGGTTGAGATCCACTGCTCTAGAAGCATGGCAGCCACACGTTGCTCACCCCTGCCTGAAGTCTACCTCACTATAGACCTAAACAGAGGGGAAAATAATGTGTGTCACCCAAATCTCATTGAAGAAAACATATGGTAATATAAATGGATATATTAATAAATACTACGATCTTTCCAAACAAGTTATTTACCAATGGAACTCTGGAATGGACCGGGCTGTGGCGCAGCTAGTAAGTAGCCAGCTGCATTGAATCACTACTGAGTTCGAAGCCAGCCTGGGTCGGAGTAAGCTCCCGACCATTAACAGTCCAGCTTGCTGTTGACCTATACAGCCTGAAAGACAGTTGCATCTGTCAAGTAGGAAATTTAGGTACCACTTTATGCGGGGAGGCAAATTTAACTAATTTACAATGCCATAAAACCTTCCAGCAGCATGCAGAAGAATGGGAAGTACTCCATCACAGGACCCGGTGTTACAAGTGAACGGTGAAGCAGTAGCTCCCCCTGTGGCAGGAACCAAGCATACCCTCATGAAGCCAGAAACACTGGAATGTTAAATTGCCTCTATGTCTGTCTATATATGTTGCATGTCTAAATGGCATTCAATGTTTGCCATGTATATGTGCATTGTAATCCACCCTGAGTCCCCTGCGGGGTGAAAAGGACGGAATAAAAATACTGTAATTAAAAAAAACTCTGAGAAAGAGGTTACTATTCTTCCTGTCGTTTTGGTGAACTAAGTCAAGGAAAGGCAGGACTTATTATTTCAAAGAAGATTCCCCCCCCCCCCCAACTTAAAAAGCCTGTACCTGCCATCTACTCACAATTTGCTTCTCTGTGTATTTATTCGAGCTGAGCAGGTTGACAGCCTCCATGTGCCCAAAGTCGATGTCATGGCCCAGCAGGAAGATGAAGAGCAGCTTACAGACATATTTCTTCTTGCTGTAACCATCCAAAGCTTTATCTCCTGAGAGAGAAGAGAGCGACAGCAGGGAAGGGTGGAGGGGCTGGAAGGTCATTGCTGGGAGGACAAAGGTGACTGCAAAGCCATTGCAAAGGGAGGGGGAAGCTGCCTGGAGCTCCCAAAGGAGCCAAGTGCTGCCTGGCCTGAAATGTTTTCACATTTGACATGGAAGGGTCTGCAGAAACAGATATATTCCTCATTTCTCTCAATTCTCTGTCAGCCACAGTTATTTAGTCCCACATCCACCCCATAATACTTCTTGTTCCCGCTCTGTTCATTTCCTCACGATGAGGAATGTGCAGGATAAGAGGCTCAGAACTGAACCAGCAGGCTAACAGATGGGCCCTGGAAGCTCTGCCAATTGGCCAACAAATCAGAGGACTACTTCAACAGTTGGCAAGTAATTTGTGAAACACCCCAGACTGGGGAAGGAAGACTTTATCTCTTTCTAGGCCAATCTAGTCAAAGTTAATTTAGTCACAAATAAAGGAGGGGTCTCTTTTTTTTATTACTCCTCTCACCGAGGACAGAAATTGTGTGTTCCAGCATCTATATGTACGTAAGCAATTGGGAAAGTAACTCTGTGCCCAAGAATATTACAAAACACATTCTTGATGCAACTCACATGTCATTTTAAGTATATGTATAATAAAACTTCTCTAATTTGGGATCAAAAAGAGCCAGATTTAGGGCAAAAAAAAAGAAAAGAAGAAGACTGCTCTGTTTTGGTTCCATAAGTCTTCTTAACCAGAAATGAAGAAAAGGAACAAGAATTTGTCAAACCTAGAAAGAAGGAACCAACAGGGATCAAAAGAAATGCTGACTAAAGAAACTCCTAGCTATCACAGCAACCAATGTCTGAGATGCTATTTAAGAAGCGGGGTGGGATGTTGCTGGTCTTTTAAATAAAAATCAAACAACAAATTGTTAACATGACAGTTCAGAGCCACAGAGAGACCGTAACAAGATTATGTCCTACTTTGAGAAATGATTAAGGTCTACCAGAGAAAGGGTCTTTTCACATAGCCATATACCCCAGAATATCAAGGCAGAAAATCCCACAATATCTGCTTTGAACCAGGTTATCTGAGCCACAGTGCCATATATTCCAGTTCAATGTGGGATTTTATTCAGCTGTGTGGAAGAGCAAAAGAAAGCATAAGATAAAACAGCTAGATCACCAGGAGCTAGGCCTTTGAGGTTCTCTGGAAATAGATCTACACTCTGTAGATAAAAGTGGAGAGAGCCAAGGTGGCATACTGGCTTGATTCTAGGAGCCCAGGGTTTTAATCTCCACTTAGTCATGGAAACTGACTGGGTAACACTGGGCACGTCACACTTCCTCTGTCTCAGAATGGCAATGGCAAACCTCTTCTGAAGAAACAGTGCCAAGAAAACCCCATTATGGGATTGCCTTAGGGTTGCCACAAGCCAGAAATTATTTCAAGGCATGTGACAACAGAGAAAGATAGAGGGTGTTCTTCAAAAGCCTAGGGGTTTCAGCAACATATAAGCTCCAGCCAAACATTTGCCTCCATGACAGACTTTGATATAAATGAGTTGGCTAATTTTCAATCAGTATCAATACACAGCTATCTGTTCTGGAGTAAGTCAATTCTCTCTGAAGATGCACAGAGGTTTTCTGCCATCCTCTTAAGCCAAACCTCCACCTCTTTTTTTAAAGTCCCAAAACAAAAGCTTGGTATGAGTTGGACAATTCAAAAGACAAGCACCAATCTCTCTTTCCTGCCCCTTTAAACCCCCTGGAAATGTATTCCGCAATGCTCAATCTGCACAGATCCACAAACACAGATCCACAAATCCCAATCCGGACCAGGAACAAAGCAAAAGACATCCAGTACACTTTTAAAAAATTCCCAAGTTCCAACAGACTGGCTTCAGTAGTTGGATGTTTAAGGCTGGCAGTAGTAACTATTTTTGTCAGGAGGAAAGGGAAGCCTAGTGGTCATAATCAGACCTTTGCAAATGTCTTTCAGCATCCCAACTGGAACAATCCAGCTGTTTCTGCGCTTTCACCCTGAGCACAAGGGTCATCCTTCATCCGCCAACTGCAGATACAAAGCACGCTGTACCTTTCTACAGAGCACTGCTGACAAGGGATTACAAAAGATGGACAACAGAAGCTGAACCAACCTGGGCAGCGACTATAAGCATGGCCATGAGGTGGGCGAAGAGGAAGAGAGAGAAAGAAAAACGAGAGGTAGTGAGTAAGCTAGGCTGAGTCATGAAGTTGCTTTAGGGAGCTGAAGTATCCTGCAGGGTCGGAGGAGGGAGAAACAAAGTGTATGTGTGATATGGAAAGGCAGTGACAAAGAGACAGTCAGACAGAGACAAACGCACACAAGGAAGCTCACCTTTGAATTTGGACCGGATATTGGCCAATTCCTTGTTAATTCTCTTAATTTCAGCCTCTTTGCTCTTACCTGAAATAAAAAATTAAGGCATTCAAATGATGGAAACACCAGTTTCCTCTATTCATCATGCATTCAAACAACTTGGTCATGTGCTTGGTATTGAATCTCTATTTACCACTCCAAGGAGCATATCAAGTAATCTGGGAATTGGAACTAGGGTAGCATAATTATTCTCTCCAGGATCAAGCAGAGGTTGCACCAATCCCCAACTTGCAGAAGTTAATGCATGGAAGGAAATAAAATCCAAAAGTAGTTGGAAGTTCATCACTGGTTTAATGGGGTGGGAGACTTGAAAGGAGACTGTTGTATTTATTTATTTATTTACAGTATTTATACTCTGCTCTTCCCACCTTGAAGGGGACTCAGGACGGATCACAGAACATACCTATGCGAACACATTCAATGCCGTTTTATACACAAACATGACAAAATATTATACATAGATAGAGGTATATATCAGCTTTTCCCATCTTCAGCATCTTAGAGACTTTGTGCTCGGTTGTACAATCAGTGCTCCTGGAAACTTCCAAGAACAGAATAAAATCTTTTTTTGTGTATGTGAGAAATAAATGGAACAGTATCGGATTTCGATATGGAAGTAAATAGGAAAGGTGTCTGTGAGCAGTAAGTTATAAAAATGGCCTTGGGACCTTATGTAGGTCCTAGATAACTGGCCATTTTGGGTTGAAAAACCCCCAACAATAAATAAATGCAATCCATGCCACACTAGAGATGGGCAAAACTCTAGTTTAGATGTCCTGATTACCAGGATTGCAAATGTTGGTAAATACTCCAAAAATAAACTAAAACAAGATTCTCTTTCATCTACAGCAGTGGTTCTGAAACCTTTTTTGACCAGGCACCACTTGATCAGGGACCACTTTGACCAGGAACCACTTTCCAACATTAGTACCAAAAGGGTTATGAATCAGCTTTTGTTCAACTTTACATTTGGTTTGGTTATTTGGGGTGCTGATTCAGAAAATTGCATTGGATAGACCATATCAACTCTAGTTTCTGATATAGAACATATGCCATCTAGTAGTTCACACCAGAAGTTTCTCAAGTTGCTCCTGACACAACAAAAAATAAATAAATATAGTAGTTGCCATCTGCTTGCCCACAGAAAACCATATTTAATAAGCCTCAGCACTATGAGAGGGTTTTGCGAGACCAGTTGCTCTCATTGCAATGGTGTAGTAATGGTGAGGCCGCAGACCATATTTTAGTTCTTGTGGACCAATGGTGGTCCACGAACCACAGGTTGGGAACCACTGATCTAAAGCAAGCAAATTTCACATCATGGAGATGACCATGTTGTTGTTGCTGTTTAGCAAATAGTTATTACAAATGATGAGTTGCTGGAGAGAGAAAAGAAATGTGGCAACTATAATTCAGCATCTCAAATGTAGCTGAATTCAGAATTAACCAAACCCAGTCTTTTAACAGCTATTCACTTATAGCTCTAGGCCTGGATGGCGGAATTCATAAGTGCAGATTTCTCCTATTTTCAGATTTTCCCCACAAATGATGAACTCTACAAATTTGGGACACTTTTTTTCCAAAGCAAAATGCAATACAAACTCTCACCCAGCTATAGACCACAGAAATGCTTCATGCATAAAAAATAAAGTCCAGCATTAAAAATAACCCTCTTAGAACTCATTTTCTGCTCCCCTGGGACCTCTCAACTATAGTTCTTCTTTGCCAAAGCTCAGAAAAGTTACTATTTTAAACTACAGATACCAGAATTCCCTAGGTAGCATGCCTCCTGGCCATTCTGGCTGGACATATTCATGAGCTGTAATTAAAACAAAAAATGTGTTTCCAAAATTCTGTGCAAATCTTACATGAAACATAAAACATGAGGTCTATGTTCAAAGCTCTCTGCTTAAAGTGGGAAAGAAACACATTTACGATCTGAAAAGGAGATTTGGGTAAAGGAAAATTTAATCCCCACTTCTGTTTTCACAGTATAAATCTCCTTATTGACCCAGCAAAACCATTATATGTATTTCCATCTCAGGGATGAAATGAAACATGGATGGGTGACTTAATACATGAGGAAAAGATTAAGACCCAGTAATGTTCCCCTCACTGAAAATCAAAATATCCAATCATGAAACTCTCACGTCTCACACTATTTGGCCCTTACTTAAGGTAAAAATGTTCACATGTATCACCTCTAAAGAGGGCAAATGGCGGTGTAGTCCTTTCCCTATGGGTACTGGGCCCAGCCAATCCTATATCAGAATTTCAGAAAAGGCAAACAAATTTGTAAATTGTAGAGACTTGACATGGACCTTGATCTAAGTAATGTCAAACTAAAATAGTGCCTTCAGTAGAGAAGAGAACTCTGCATCTTTTTATCACACAATGGCATGAATCATTACTAGTTCCAGGTGAAATAAATCCATTGACTCAATGGAATTAACCAGTGTGTTGACTCACCATTCAACAGATTTCATGGGTCTGTTCTTTTTTATTATCATTATTAGCCAACAGGATTTAAGCCAATGTCACAAGAGGCAAGGTGGGATTTACCTCAAACAAGTAGAAGACAACTCATAAACAATTTAGCTATGAAGGAAAGGGAAGATGGAAGCACACACGTATCTCATACATATACAACTGCTTCTGGTAAGTGCTTGATTTGTGTATGGATTGCACTGACTGACATCTTAGGGAGTGAGAAGGAAGGAAGCTGTTTACATAGAGATTCTTTGTCAATGTTTGGAATTCAGCCTGCACCAAAGTAAGAGTAGCCATGTAATGGAAGAGCAGGTCTGACAGCAACTTCATACAATGCAGAAAAAAATCAGAGACTGTGTTTATTATACATTATTTTAGGACATAGCTAAAGAACCTGCAGTCCTACAGCTAACGTCCCACCATCCCCAGCTGTTGCCCAAAATAATAGCCAGAGATTAGAGCTAGAGTCCAAGTACCTCTGAAAGGCAACAGCTTCCCAGAGATTGTGTTAGATTAAAAACAATGCCACAGTGAACCAGGATGTAAATAAGGAGAATGCTGCTCCATGCAACCCATTTTTTATATTTATTTAGACTGCTTTTTTCCCTGTCATACAAATATTAAAAATAGAATTAAAAGCAGTTAAAGACCTGATAATTTGTTTTTTTTTTAAAGAATAAACAGTACAGCACATTCTGAAATTCTCTTTTCTCCCTGACAATTTGCCCTCAAAGGCCTGCCAAAACAAAAAAGGTGTTCACATGCCTACACTAGGATAGCAAAGGCAAACACTCACTCTATGTGGGATTGCCTTTGAAGACTGTTCAGAAGCTTCAAGTGGTCCAAGGAGCGTCAGCAAGATTCCTCACTGGAGCGGCGTACAGGGAGCATACTACCCCCCGTTAGGTCAGCCCCAATGGCTGCTAGTCTGCTACCAAGCACAATTCAAAGTGCTGGCTTTAGTTTATAAAGCCTTAAATGGTTCCGGCTTAGCTTACCTCCCCCTATGAACTAGCCCAGATGTTAAGATCTGCTAGGGAGGCCCTGCCCTCGTCCTTCACAGGCGTAGCTGGTGGGGACGAGATACAGGGCCTTCTCAATGGTGGCCCCTTGTCTCTGGAACTCCCTCCACAGTGAGATTTGATCAGCTCCTTACCTGCTAGCTTTCAGAAAGATAGTAAAACCCTGGCTATGGGACCAAGCTTTTAGAAAATAACTGCAGTGCAATAAATGAATGTAGAATCTGTGCAATGACAACTGGAATGGCTCTGGATTATGACCTTGGATTATGTGATTTTAATAATGTAATTGTTTTAGATATTTTTTATTCTTTGGTTTTAATCTAAATGTTTATCAACTGTTTGTTATTTTTAAGGCATTGAATTGTTGCCACTTGTGAGGCCGCTCTGAGTCCCTTTAAATAAATAAAAATTAAATAAATAGCAAAGAGGGCACCGGTCTAGCTTCTCTAGAAATTGTTTCAAATTGAGAGTAGCCACCAAAAAGACCCTCTCCTGTGTTTCCACAAAAGCAGTGGGACTGAGGGGAGGGCCTTCCCAGGCCTCAAACCGAAATGAGAATACAGTCCTTCAGATGACGGGGTCTCAGCCATGTCAGACTTTATAGATCATAATCATCATTTTGAATTGTGCTTGGAAAGTGAGCGGCAGCAAATGAATCTGACGCAACAAGGAAGTGGCCAACCCTGCTTAACAATCTGGTTGCAGGTTTGTTTTTTGTTTTTTGGACCAGTCGAGGTTTCTGAACGGTCTTCAAAGACAATCCCAGGTACAGGGCACTACAGTAATCCAAACAGATGACTGAGGAATGTGTTGCTGATATCTGTCCAAATAGGTGCAGCTGGCACACAAAAGCCTTAACTGTGCAAATGCACTCCAGGCCAGCACTGAAACATGAGCTTCCAGGTTCAGGGTTGAATCCAAGAGTATACCCAAGATATGAACCTGGGGAAATGCAATGCCACCCATCATGGGATGAATCCCTATTCACTGTCCTGCCTTTTCACTGATCAGGAAGGGGACAGACTCTCCTGAACTCATGATTATGGTTTAAGAATCCAAAGAACTCAGGATTTGGGGCTAATCTGGGGACACTAAATTCTCATTCTGGTTTCGGACATAATGAGACATTATACCCTTTCTGGCTATTCTATCTGCTTCCATAAAAGGGGATGAGGAGGCTTCAAGTACTCTGCCCATTTACATCTTGGTTTGTTAAACCATTTTGAGCTTAAAGCATAGCTACAGAGTTTTGGGTGGAGACAATTATTTATATGGAACATCGGAAAGTGCTCTTTCTGAAAGGTCTGGGTGTTCACTGACTCCTCTTTTTTGTATGTTTAACTAAAAGAGGAGGCAGATCTAAAATATATTCTCCCACTCTTTGACCTGCCATAAATAGAAGGCTACAAATGCAATGTACATACTGCCTTCTTTGAGTTTATTGAGACAGTACCCAATCAAGATTACTTCAGAATCACTGTCAACTTACTGTCAAACCTCACAAGGCTCGAAAGC